GAGGACTTCAAAGGGAGCTTGTTTTTGCAAGACTTGGGTAGGAAGATGATTAATAAGATGGGCAGCGGTGAGAACAATGTTACCCCAGTAGGACCGAGATACACTCATAGAAAAACACATGCACCGAGCCATATCAAGAAGATGACGATTCTTGCGTTCTGCCACCCCATTTTGTTGAGGGGTATTGGTGCAAGAGGTCTGATGAATAATGCCATGAGTAGAAAAATATTGCCCTAACCCAGAATCTATGTATTCCCCCCATTATCAGAACGGAAGATTTTGACAGTGGCCCCAAATTGAGTACAAATCATCTTATGAAAATTGCGAAACATAGAGAAAACCTCACTCTTGTCTTTCATGAGATACACCCAAGTAGTACAAGAAAAATCATTAATAAATAAAACAAACCATCGATGACCTTTCACAGACATAACACAAGATGGACCCCAGACATCAGAATGTATTAATGAAAAAAGAATTAAACTTTTATTAAAACTGTGAGCAAAAGAAGCTCCGTGTTGTTTTCCAAGTTGATAAGACTAACAAAGAAACTCAGACACATTATTGTTTGCGAACTCAGATGGAAATAAATGCTTAAGTAAATAAAAATAAGGATGCCCAAGATGTCGATGCCACAGCCATAAATCATCTTGGGTAGTAAGACTCGTGGTGGAAGAATGAGCAAGCTTATCAGGTTGATCCAGGAAGTATAGACCATTTGTTGCACTACCACTGCCAATCTTCCTCCTCGTGACAAGGTCCTGAAAAAGACAATGATCAGGAAAAAAACGTCACACTACAATTCAAATTCTAGGTAATACGACTAAAGGATAACAGGTTAACAGAAAAATTGGGAACATGGAGAACAGAATATAGAGGAATAGTAGAAGTGACATGGACTAAACCTTTCCCAGAAATAGAAAAAGCAGTACCATCTGCAATCCTAACTTTGTCTTGACCTGAAGAGGGCTTATAGGCAGAGAAAAGATCAGAGGATCTAGACATATGATTGGAGGCACCATAATCAATAATCCAGAGCAAAGACTTATGAAACGGGAAAGCACAAGGAGAAGAGGCTAAGTTACTTGAGCGGGCAAACGACGAGGAAGATGTACTGAGAACAGTAGAAGACCGGCGATCTAGCAAGTGACGCAGAACATCCTCAAGCTCAGAAGTAATCATGCCAGAGAGATCATTAGAATGCTAGCGAACGGAAGCAAAAGTAGAATCAAGTGTATTAATGGTATTAGACTGATGAGCCCGTGGATGAGAACCCCGTCCTCTAGACTGGCTTGACCGACCTCCTCTAAAACCAGACTGATCACCTCGACCCCCAGATGGAGTCCCATAAAGCTTCCAACATGTCTCATGAATATGCCGCGATTTTTTACAATAATCACAGAATACAGATTCCTTGGCTGCAGACGGAGGGATGGGAGTCAGGCTAGGGCCATCTCTAGGATAGACAGTAATGTGGAGCGGTCAGTAGAGACAAGGGACATCATAGCAGACCGGCTCTCCTCATTCTGGACATAGGCAAATGCCCCCTGAAGTGAAGGAAGAGTGTCCATACTCAGAACCCGACTTCGAACCAGATCATACTCCACATTGAGCCTTGCCAAAAACTTGAAGACCCTTTCCTGTGCAATAAACTTCCTGTATCTGACTGAATCAGCAGTGCAAATAGGCTTATAATGCTGCAAGTGATCAAGGCATTTCCAGCCGTTGGTGAGGAAGGTGAAGTACTGAAGAATCGGCTACTCCCCTTGAACAGAGCTCTCAATAGAGCGGCGTAAGTCAAATGTCTGGGAGAAATTCCCTTTGCGGGAATAGGTAGTGGCCACAACATCCTAAATATCCTGGGCAGTCTACATAGACAAGTAGCCCTCGCCAATGTTTGGTACCATCGAATGAATAAGCCAACCCATAATCAAAGAGTTGGTAATCTCCTATTAGTCATAACCCGGGTCAATGGTGCTGGGTGCCTGTATCCTGCCATCAATATACCCCATCTTCTCTCTGCTCTTCAAAAACATAGTCAAACTCTGTGACCACGCTAGATAGTTCTGACCATTAAATAGAGAGGTGATGATTTTAATACTAGGGTTAGGGTTATCAATCATAGTAGTAGGTATAATGGAACTCTCACTCTTAGGTGTCGACACACTAGTGGAATCTGCCATAGATACTGTACTACTGAACCCTCAACAAAACTAGTGTCAATCACAAACCCGGAAGAGGGTAGTGGAAGGGAAAAAACAAACAACCACTATGACAATATAAAGATTTAACAACCCATAATTTTCCTTTTTTTTTTTTTTCCTTAGAGAACTGGTTCTGTTTCAAGAGTAAATAAATACACTGGTTCGGGTTCGAGTTCTGTTTCAAGAGTAAAAAGATACACTTACAAAGTGAATACTCTCAAAGGACGAGAGACGACTGAGCAGGATCAAGAGATGACTGCATTGGGGAAGTCGACTGAGGCAGAGGGACTACCAAGGGCAGTCAGCGGAGCAAACGACAAGAGCAGACGACCAACCCAGGTAAGTTTCGAACCCTAAGGGCTTTCGTTACTAACTTCGACCAACAAGGGTGAGTCGAAACCCTAGACAGTCATCAACCCACCCCCTTCTCGGCTTGAGCCGAAGCCCTTCAGGGTGGAATCGGCTTGAGCCGACAGAGAGAGGAACTATCTCTGATGGTGGCTGGTGACTCTTGGTGGTGGGTGGTGGCTCCGGTGGATAATAGGAACAGTATGGGTAGATGGGTTTAGGTTTTAGGGTTAGGCTCTGATACCATGATAAATTTAGAGAATACCATATTAGGGAATGATTAGGATATCATCCCTTATTTATATTAATGAAGATCAATAATTACAAAGGAGTGCTAAGGCATAGAATAATTACAAAATAAGAACCTAAATAATAATATATTATTCTAACAATAAGTGGCTATTTTGGCTTAATTTGAGAAAAGACCCCCAAATACTTACTAAATGAAGGGACCCATCATTGGGATAAGGAGAGAATGTATTAGCCATTGGTGCAAATGGTAAGGTAGAGTCACGAACAGAGTATAATATTATTAATTTCATCAAATAAATGGATCGCTGGTCATTTCTCAGGAATTAAGGGGTTGTTTGGGATGATCTAAATAAGTGCAGTTTTTGACTTTTCATGAAATATGGGTTGGATTTGGATTAAGTTTGAAGTGATGTGACTTAAATAAGATGACGTGACTTATATAGGATAGTGACTTTTTGACTTTTTTGAAACTTGCCAAACCAGTCCTAAGTCTAACTCTCCTGTATAAGTGTCTTGCCATGCCACTACCACCCCGGTAGGGATGGATAAATATCAGGCTGGACTAACACTACATAATAAGGGATTTTGTGTCTGTTTAAACTCGGCTTGACTGTAACATTGGGCCTCTATATTTGTCCAAACCCGATTCAGAAAATAATTATAAATTTCAAACCCACTCATTGAATTATGTGTTAAAAAAAATAAATTAAAACATTACATAATTAAATTCAATTACACATTATATTTCTTAAATAAATATATTAAAATCATTATAAATGAAAAGATTATATATATATATATATTAAATAATTTCTTAAAAAAATTTAATCACACATTATCATAAACGTGAGTTTCAATTATAATCATGATCAACCAATGTAACTGGCTTGGTTGCATGCATGATTGAGAATTGCCATGGACATGGATAGATGTTCAGTTAATTTTAACATTTACGTCTTTAGTTTGGAAATTCATTTTTTTTAGAAAATTTTATATTGTCAGTTACTTGGTCTTTACAAATTTGATCTGGTCTGGGATTTTTCCTTAATATTTGTTTTCCTTTTTAGTATATCCAAATTTGAGCTTAACTCAAAATTTTTGTTTATTGTTGTGTTAATTAAAGAATTGCCTTAATTGTTTCCTGCTTGGGGAAATTGCAAAACCCTTAAAAAAGAACTCCAATTATGTATAAACTAACATTTTTTTCAATTTTTTTTCTTTCTTTCTTTATTTATTTATATTTTGTGGTAGATTTGGCAAGGCAGGGGATATAGGCTAGCTGGGAAGGATGGAAGGGGTGGTGGGGCTGGTAAAGAGGAAGGACGTGTTGGAGAGGTGGTAGTTGTGGTTGCTATCCTTCTTCATCGCCTGCTAAGCACGCATGCGCCCATGTACGAGAGAGAGAGACAGAGAGATAACACCTTATGGTTTTCAGATGAGAAAGAAGAAGAAAAGATGAAGAAGAATGGGAAGGATGAGTTGGGAAGGGGTGACAAAGGGGAAGGGTTGTGATGGGGGGTGTTGCGGGTGACCAATGGTGCCACCTCTGACTATTATTAGGTTAAGGATTTGCAAGAAAGAAATGATATATTTTGGGATTATTAAAAGATTGTGGGTCTACATTGAAAAAAAGTCAAAATTCAAATTGTATGTGATATATCATAAACAAATGGTAAGTAATAAAGACTTAATATAATTTAGTATAATTTCCCTTGAAGCTTCCAAATAATTTACTATACCATAAGACTTTAGGGGAACCAAAAAAAAGTTGTCCCCCAATGGGAAACAAAATTTCTCAAAAATGGATTAGCTGTGATACTTGTGATTCGTATCCTTTGATACTCCGTGTTTACGGAATTAAGTAGCTGAAGTTCCAAACCGAGGAGGCCTGTTGCTCTGAAATACTTACATACATATATATATATCTAATTCCAATCTCAATGCAATCCAAGTAGGGATAGAGACTCTAACGTTGTGTTTGATTAGAGAATTTATGAAGAGATTTGAAAAGAAAAAAAAAATGATATATCAATAAAATATATTTACATTTCACCTAATTTTACACACTTTTTCATTTTACATTTTCAAATCTCTTTCCAAATCTTTTAATCAAAAAAGATCCAACCATGGTAAATGTAACAAACTGGATTTTGTGGAACAAAAATATATAATGATACATACATAGCTATTTGCCTATCTCTCACAAAATCAACCCACAAAAACCTCTTATTAACCAAGAATTATGTACATGTTTGTGCATTTCTAGCAAAAGAATAAGGGTACGTTTCATAGTCATACACAAAGAAAACCAAGACTAAGAAGCTAAAATCAATACACATTCAACTCCAATGGGCGCAACTTGAAAACAAATGGCCAAAAACACAAAATAAAAATAAATTTTTTTTTTTTTTTTTGAAAGAACAAACCAATTATGATTTAGCTTGACTTCTTTTCTTCTTCTCCTCCCATGGGCCTAATTTCTTTGTTTCTTCTTTTTTTCACGTGGGCCTAATTTGCTATAGATTCTTGGACAAGATGTTAAAGAATCTCTTAATCTCTTCAACCTATATACTTCATGGTGCTACTACACACAAGATGGTACGAGGATCTATCGTCCTTCCTTCTCAATGTTGCCGACTTTTCGACCTTTTTTAGCACCAAATTTGATGACTACGTAGTCAATCATCACCTCCATCTCCAATATCATGTCATGATCATCAGAATCAAAGCAAAATCAACTACCCCATCACAACCATCAAGCTTTTCTTCTTCCACCATCACATCAGAGGGAGATACGCCCCTCCATGCCCTTTCCTCAGCACAAGTGGCCCGGCATTGTCAGGAACCCTATCTAGTGCCTTTGTGCATGCATCGATTACATCACTAAAACCAGTGGCCACAGTGGCCAGTTGCAACCGCAACCTCAAATCCCTAGTCCTCTTCAACAAACATCTAAATGACCTCCACAAATACTTTGCCCACTCTGCCGGTAGCCCTCCACCTGTCAACCAAACTGAGAACTGAGATTGGTCCCCTCTGGCTGCCACCTCAGCCCTGTAAAATCTTGCAAGATCAGCAAGCATTGAAGGGTGGAGTGGAAGCACGGCCACAAATTCAGCCACGAACTGCTCAGTAAGCTCTGGTTTGAGCATCTGATTCCAAAGCACCAGGGCCCACTCACTCGGCTGGTTAAGATCATAGGCTTCGGCAACAATTAGTGCCTCTTGGAAACGGGATTGCTCAACAAGGGCTCGTCGTGCATTGGTTTCAGATAGATTGAGCCACTGGAAATCTGGCATCCGTATTTGAAGTGAGACAAGGGATGCGCGAGCACAAGCAGCATGTGTTTTATTGCCAGCATCAATGGAGGAGTGAACCGCAGCAGCTTCAATAAAGTAGCGCATTGAATCAAGGAGGTCTTCATTCTGGTCCTTGTCATAACGGAGGAACCACTGCTGAGATGATTGTTCAGCTCGTGACTCGAGAAGAGAAGCTGTTTCATGCTTCATGTCAAAGTGATTATAAACCTGCAAGAGAAAGAAACAAATTCAATGGTATACTTGAGGAACCATGAGCTTGTGCTATTACCTGACATGTCATACACCTAGGCAAAGGGATCTGTAAATTGTATTTAATTACTTGCATGTAAAACAAATGCAGCCAAAACAATTTCAGCTACTTGATTTGGAGACAAAGTTTTCAGACTAGACCTTCCAAAAGGAAGCCGATGAAGTGGCTACCATTGCTAAAGGGACAATATATGAGCAACCGTATTAGTCAAGGGACCTTATGATTTGAAAGCCTATCCACAATGTGGACACCATGGCCTAGTATCAGTTACCTATTAATGCAGCCAGAACTCAACATGGCACAAATTATCTATTCTATGTTTTTCATCAGAACTGGTGCAAAAAATTAAACATTTTATTTGCAAACCACGGGCATATACGAACCATAGCAAATGCATCAAGATCATTTGGGTTAAATTGCTTCAGTGTTGTGAGAACAGCCATGCGGAATCCTCTTACAGCCTCAGCAGTGCCCGTATTTGTGTCTGCAGCAGCTGAAAACTTCTGAAGGAGAAGATCCAACTGACCGTTTTCTATAAGAATTCCAAGAATGAAATTGAGGGCATGGAAGTTTCCTACTCCAGTTATCAGGCGAGCCAAACAAGGAAAATCGCCCTCTGAGACATAAGCTTCTACCCTGGTTGCTGCAAGGGCTACAAGAACATCAACTCCATCAAGGCAAGCTGATAACTTGTAGAAGTGGTGTGACAGAATAAGAAGCTCAACCTGACAAATCATATTTCAAGAGACATTAGCTCATCTTCTATTTATTCATCTTTTTTATTTTTATTTTTATTAAACAAGCTGATGATATTACACAGCTATCTTTAATTAGATTAGGATCACTATTTTGTCAGTGATGAAGTGTGATAATTTTGTATCACAAACTACGTGAACAATATGGCCTTTTAATTAACAAGGGCCATAACGTTATACAATAAGAATGATGACCAAAAAAAAAAAAAATAACCTTCAGTCCCCACTGAATGAGGGGTACATTGATCACGGTTTGGCTTTGGGGCTGGTTTGTAGTCACCAGCCTCCCCCCCATGTATCAGGGGCAGGGTGGGCGATGGATTAATTTTATAACTTACAAAATATAAATATTAATAAAAATCATATATAATATAGTGTGTTATGGATATTGATTTATAATTAATGAAAGTTCAAAGATGTGAGATAAGAAATAAATGAATGAAAAACAATATGAAGTGTAATATTTTGTATTTTTAATTTTACCATATTAAAAAAATTAAATGATATATGTATTATATACATATAAATACATTTAGTAAATATAAACGGGGCAACGGCAGGTTAGAACGGGGTGGAGGATGCAAACCCCGTTCCTACCCCACTTCCTCTTCGGGGTGGGAAAAATCTGTGCGGGACAGGGCGAGGGATGCAGGGGGCAGGGTAAAATGACCATCCCTAAACCTAGCTTTTGACATAATTTGTACAAAATGGCTGCCCTTAGGTTTGAACTCACAACCTCAAGGTTGATAGCAGAGTTTTAAACCCTGAACCCCTGTATTCTAATAGCTACAACATGCATCCTGTTTTCTAATTTCCATGAATAGAACTTTCCAGCCAAAAAAATAAAAATAAAAAATCCAATTTAATCCACATTTAATATATATATATATATATTTTAGTATTATGGCACACTGGGCAACAACGACAACTATCATACCTCACAGGCATGCGGTATTTCTTGGCTGGTAATCACTAAACGCATCAATGCATGACCAATTTCTGGTTCTGATGAACAAAGCTCTGCCCATTTCAAGAAGTCCGAGAATCTCCACAATAGAGGAGCAGGTCCTTCCTCCTTCTGAGAATCCATATATCCCCCACGATGCGCAGCTAATAAACCCTGGAGTACATCAATGAAATTAATAAAATGAGTACTTTTTTAAAGAAATTAAGTTGAACCGCAAAATGAAAAATAAATCTAACTCCCTGTTTCAGCTGATCCAAGCCAAGCTGCTTATGTTGATTTATCTGACCATGCAGGACAGCCACCATAGCCCAACCTGGGGACTCTGGGTTTAAGATATGATCTTTTGGTTGAAATTGGACTTTGGAGTATGTCTTGACACGACAACGTAGGAGGTGGCAGGTGCCATTTATTCTCTACTTCTAATTGGAAGTTGTAGGTACATGTGTTCAAATTCGCTACATGGCATACCTCGTGAGATGACGAGAGAACCAACAAGAAGTCTCCACGTGCTCCCCTCCAAGGTCGAGCTGTGTTGGTCAAGGCTGGCAAACATGGCACGCCACCTTAGCCCCACCACTAAAGCATGCTTGAGATCGCTCATGGCAGCCCTTGGTTCGGCCAAGGAACCACAACCCAAGCATTCGCCTCCAATCGTGGTTGGAATGCTTAGAGCTTGTCTACCTTGATCGATGACTCCTCACCCATGCGTGCCTTTTCCTATCTTCATCACGACAAAGGCATGCTTATTCTTCAGCTGAGCATGCCTTCCCCATTAATTTCTACCTTTGGCTTGGCCAAACAACCGACATTGGGTAGGTTCCCCCATCTATAATCGAAGCATTCGGACACTACCACACCAGCCCAGGTCAGAAAGTAGGGCCTAGAAATCCCACTCAGGATCACCAGCGGATATGTGGCTTGGGGACAGAGTTGAGAGATAGTCAAGGTTTCCTAGCTAGCTCTCTCTCTCCCGGGTGGTTCCACCTTGACGGACCTTAGATAGAGAGAGGTTTTAACCACAGTATAAGACACCTCGAACGATTTACCATACCTACTTTTGCAGATCTGTGATACAACCCCCGAGGTTTAACATTCCTACACAAGACAGTCTCGTGATACAAGTTCTGATGTCTAATTATAGGCACAAGATGTGCTGGAAACCTCTGCATTGTTGAATCAAGAGTGTTTAGCCACCTATCCTCTAGAATGGGGTGCTATGCTTGACTAGGGTTGTAAAACAAACCTCAAGCTATTCAAGCTCGAATCGTGTTTGGATGCTTAAAAGCCCTTTTGAGAACCGTTCATTATGTAAACAAATCAAGTTTAAACATAATTTGAAACTTGTTAATTTTCTGAGCTTTGCTCAAACTCAACTCAGTGAGCTTAATACTCACTAGAATTATATTAAAAAACCAAGCTACTAGAGCTTGGCTTGTGATTGACTCGATTAATGATCATTTGATATCGGTTCCAAAGATAAAGAAAACCTTTTTGAAGATAGTAAATTTTTCAAACCAACCTCGAACAATTCACTACTCAACTTGTTTATAGCTCTATGCTAGGCCAAGCTAGCCACGTGGTTTGACTATCCCCATATAAAGGGTCATCATCCATGCAAGCAAGACAAGAGCTGTCCGCTCCCCTCCAACAAGCTCAAAAGATTTCAGGGTTTCCTTGGTTCTCACTTCCTCCACCTTTGATGGTCCCTAGCCATCTCAGTGCTTACCATCTTCCTAAAGGCCCCACTCAAGCCACCTCGAGGTCGGCCATTCACAGAAGCTATATTCTATCCCAATGCAAATGGCAAGTAACTCATGAGTTCAAAGCATCAATGTGTTCATAAACTAAAATTTACGAAGAAAAAAAGTACCTTTAAAATGAAATTTAAGGATTATAAATGTAAAAGGCACCTTTAAAAAGGATTCTGCAAGAACTTGAGCAATACTAGCAGCTGGCATAGAATGAGTTTGCACCAGGAGATTTGCTTCCTCAAAGGAATCTTGTGCTTTAAGAGAAAGCAACTGTAGCAGTTCAATAGGCTGCTTATCAAATGCCTCTGAGAAAGAAAGACCCAACACATTTGCAGCTTTTACAACTGCTATTATTCTCTTGCATAGCCCACGACCACTACCTTCCATAAATATGGTTGTTAAACTCTCCAGTACCTACAATTTAACAAGAAACTAATACATTAGTTCAAAAAACGAATTAATAACCAATTTTTTCGTGCAGCCATCAGGAAGTGGAAAACCCATTAACAATGAAAGGAAACAAATCACAAGTAGCCTTGGACAGGGAACGTGGATATTTTTAATTTCGAATATGTTATACTAACAACCTCTCTGTTACCAAAATATAATATGGAAACTGATGAAAGTAATGCAGCCCTGAAACCGAGCAGACGGTTATGACTATTTTACTTTTAACATCATTGGCACATGAGGTTGTATATATTTGTTGCATAAGGGGTTGTTTTGTCTAGCATTGCATTTCATCCTGAATACTTGGTATTATTCACATGCAAAGAAATAGCTTGAGTGAAAATAAATTAGAAAAGAGTTTTGAATCAGAACCTCCAGGGGTTCAACCACATGGTGGTCGATCAATATATTGTATGATTGAATAATAGAACGCACTTCCTCATCCAGCATTGATATGGATACTTTGTTACAGGGAGTTGAGATAACTGCAAGCTTTAAAGCAGCGTCTACAAGTACAAATTCAGGTGGTATGTGTGCTGGAGACAGCTTATTCTGGAGTTGTTTTGCAGCTGTTATTTGCCCAAACTCCAATAAAGAAAGAACTGCTCTTTCCAACTCTTCAGGTCCAACCCTTTCTTCCCACCTTGAAAAGGATGATTCTATTCTGAAGTTTTCATCTTGCAAATGCAAATCATTTCTGAAATAGAGAGCAGCGACACCATCTTCAGAATCAATAATTTTCTCTGTTGTATCCATTAGAGGCCGTCTTGATGGTGCAAGGCCTTTGGCTCTACGTTTTGCCTTTGCATTCCCGCCCATACTAGTTGAAAAGCTAGAATCCACAACTTGTGAAATCTTGTGGTGTGTCTGGTTATTTTCCCTTGCATCATTTCTCTCTGAAGTTTTAGTCCTCATTGCATTTATATGATTGTCCATTTTTGTTATGATACTGGCAGTCCGATCTATAATATTGGAACTCTTTCCAGTCCCAGGTTCCCTGATAGAGCTGGCTAAGGTGAAGTCTCCTTCACTTTTTACCTGAGCTTCCGATTCTACTGCCAGGAGCCATACTCTAGTCTCAATCTCTCGCAGAAGATGCAATGGATAAACTCTGATAAATTCACCATACAAGTTAGAAGGAAGATTTATCCCAAGATGCGAATCAGCACTACAAATTCTGTTGAAAATTACTTACGGGGTGGACTGGGTTATCATCCCGCTCAGCCATTGTAGAGAAAGAAGTAGCATTTCATGAAGCTCCCTTGATGGAAGATCTTTCTCCACAACTTCTGCATGTTTCAGGAAAAATAATCCAGCCTACAAACAAAACAACAGCAGAAAATCCCAACAAAGTTGCAGATAAAGAAGTAGCAGGTAAAAAAAATGAAAATACAATTTTCAACTATGATATTGAACTGTTGTTGATTCCAAAGTAAAAATACCTGTAATGCAGGGAAGGAATATCTAACAAACAGTGTTTGGCAGTGACCCCATAAAGCGACTCTCTCTTCTGGTACATCCCAAAGAAACTCCTTCCACTCTGCCACCATGGACTCAGCCTTGAAGAGAGAGAGAAAGGGGGGGGGGGGAGAGATGGCATTCGCATAAGAAAGATGTATACAACGAATTTTTTGTGCATCAAATAAAGATCTACACAATAAAATCATACAGCTATAGCCTCCAAAATAAATAGCGTGCTAATAACACATTTTTAGGTGGCAAAAGTATAGGTCATGGCTTGTATACCAAGAAGAAATATCTATGTATTCTAAGAACTTGAGACTAACATAATAAAAGATGGCAGTGAAGGTTAATCGTGAAAATTATAAACACAGCAACTGCTTACATCATCTTTAATTGGTTAACAACAAATGGAGATCAGAGAGGATTTTATTTGTGAAATCAAATTATGATGGATTAAATAGATTGCTTATTAATTATTTTTTTTGGGTAAATTGCACGGACCTCCTTCACTATTGCCTAAATTATAGCTGGCCCAATTAGTATGAAGAAATGATACCGTCCTCCCCTAATGGGCCTCAAAAGTTGACTCCATCAACAAAAGACAAGAAATGAAAAAAAGATCCTCACCCCGCTAGGCCAGCCACCAATGCAATCCATTGCTTCTACCCAATCCCCCACCCACCCCTATCTTATTTTTCTCCAAATTCAATACCTACCTCCATCCAACACCCATTGACAAAGCCACTTTCTCTTTCATTCAACGGTTGCAAGCGAATAAGCAAAAGAAAGGACAATGGACTTCTTCAACCTTCCACCCTGAGCTTGACTCTAATGAACTTGAATCTTATCCCAAATAAAGAATAAAGAACTTCCCTGAATAGACCGCCCTTTTTATGGATAGGTGAGATAAGTTGCTCCTAGCGACTAGATCTAATCCATTTTCTTCTTTCCTTACCTACAATGCTTAACAATAGCCTTCAGAACTACTCCCACTCATAAGTAAGATGCCATTGTCATCCATTGCCTCTACCTAATCCCCCAACCATATCTATCTTCGTCTTCTTCAAATCCAATACCCGAATTAACATCCTGTTCTTTCAATCACAATCAGCTAAGGCCAACTCCATTGTTTCGACCACCACCATCACCTCTTGACCCCCATCTCACTCACTACTCCACTGTTGATGCCTCCAAAACCAAACAAAACCCAATCCTAGGCGCACCTCTCGACTCCATCTCCCTTAGAAGTCAAAACATACAAACCTATACCTATATACCTATATATATATTACCGAACCTCAAACACCATCTCCTCCTTGTCTAAAATCATTAGTTCAATTAATGTACATCACTACCACTACCACTACCACACCAATTCAGGTTACGATGGTGGCAACTGTAATTGGTGCAGTGTTATCAGAAAATATTGATATCCTATCGAATTACATTTTGGAACTCACATTTCAAAATATGGTATACTTGTTCGAAAATTATAAATTTAGCCTATTAAAAGCGATCCCATTTTTTTTTTTTCAATATATTTCCTTCAACTTTCCTTAAGAGTAAAAAAAATCAAATATAATGAATTAAAATTTAAATTAAGTGAAGTTTTGATATAACAAAACGTAAAAGATGAGTCATAAAAAATATATATAATTAGAGGAAAAAAAAATCTATATGTTATTGGATGCCTAGTTATATATATATATATATATATATTCTCTAGAATAGAATAGAGATATGAATCTCTTTAATTTGATCAACGATATGGATTTAGAGTCGAATGGAGAAGAAAGATTCATGTAGCTGATCCCATTTGATGGGACTTAAAACTTGGTTTGGTTTGGTTATTCTCTAGAATAGAAGCATCTTGAATTCTTGTAGTGTGAACTATACAAGTCTACCCCTATTGTATTGCAATTTCAAGCATGTGGTGTACATTGTTCCCATTCCTGTCCCGATTCTATGTAGTGGAACCATTCATATTGCAGGTAACATAGGATGGTTGTGTATTTAAGCTGTAGTGGTAGTTTGATTTGGTTGTTGTTAATGGTGGTGGAAGACAGAGGTGGCAGGTAAGGATTTAGCGGTGAGAATAGGAGGCGTCGAGTGCCACTAGCCACCGTTGCAATGCCATCAGTTTCCACAGCCATTAGTTACCCCCTCTTTTCTCTCTTCCCCTTTTCTTCTCCATGCTCTCTTCTTCTCAACCTTGAGAAAGCTTCACTCCAAGATGCGGAAGCTCATGCTAGCCATGGCCAATGGCCTCAACTCCTCACCTAACCTAGGGCAACGCTAGCTCGAAGTTGCAGCGTTAGACGATGTGTGATGCTACATGCTAGTGAGAGAGATGATGGGTTGCTAGATGATGAGATAGAGAATGAAGAGAGGAGGAAAGTGAAAGAGAGGGGAAACGCACACACACAGAAAGAGAGAGAGAGAGAGAGGAAAAAAAAAAAGAACACTTTTTTATTGGGTTAGCTTATTTTATCAACCCATTTAGTAAATTGAAAGGGTAAAATAGGAAATTCAATGTCCAAATTGATGACACCATCATATTTTCTCCACGTCTATAATAGATTCTTAATGGAGAGGGGTGCAATGAAATGCAACTCAAATGTTAACAGTGGCCAGTGTGATATTACCAAACAAATGGGGTCAACTACAATTTGGACAATTGTCAGGGGTGGTTTGTGTAAATTGCCCCTTTTTTCTTCAACCAAGTTACAAGTATAAGCCATTGACATTTTCGGGTAAAAGACGGTTGATAAACAAGAAGCATAATTTCCAAAAGTGAACCAGCTTAAATGAGTATCTATACCTTTGTTGCAGGAATCACCTACTAAGGGTGATGTTCTGCTCTAGAATGGCAATTTTGCAGTTTGAAGTAAGAAACACCAAGTTCCCATCAAGATAGAACTGTGGTTCCAACTACGATGGGTCCACTCAAACATACGAATCCCAAATAAACAAAAGACAAGAAAATCTGTATATAATACATATATAATGTGATAAAAAATGATGAATATATCAATCTATGTCAGAACGAAATAAGGGCCACAAGAAAAATAAAAAATATATAACAAATAGAAGGGTAAAAATATATGCTAAACAATGTACTAAGAATTTACTAATCTTGTTTATGTTTACAGTTTAATGGCAGTGTACTGTAGACATTTAACATATATATTACAAATAAGGAGCATTTTTTGGAGGTTGCTCAGATCCGTCTACCTCGGCCAATGTATAACCATTGGCCCATTTTGCTTGATGGTGGGGGGATTCAGTGTGGTCTCATGCCGTTTCACTTTGAGAATGTGGATACAAACAGAAGGCTTTCTGGATTTGGTTCGTGGCTGGTGGAGTAGCTCTGTGTTTTCTGATTCTCTTAGCTATGTGTTGGCTCATAAACTAAAAATGCTTAAAGGAGATTTGAAGAAATGAGGTGTTTGGTCGGTTAGAAGGCCAAAAAGCGACGATAGTGCCCTTATTTCAGTCCTTGGATGAGCTAGAGGCACAAGGGGGGTTGTCTAATAATGATGTTGTCAGGAAGGCGGCGGCTAGACAGGACTTTGTTCATATTTTCTGTATGGAGGAGGTGTGTTTTAGACAAAAATCTAGATATTTGTGGTTGAAAGATGGGGATTGAAATACGAAATTCTTTCATCGGATGGCAAATGCACATCAGAGAGTTAATCAGACCAATATGATGTGGGTGGATGGTTAAGAGCTGTACACAGATGTGTAGATTAGGAAAGGGGTTGTGGGTTTCTATCAGTATCTATTCCGACACCAAGAAGGGGCATGGAGGGCGGGTTTGGAAGGTGTTCAGTTTAATATGATATTGGGAGAGGGTAAGGAGAAGTTGGAGCGAGCTTTTGTGGAGGAGGTGGTGTTTGGGTCTTTGCGGGCTATGAGTGGTGATAAAGTCCCAGATCCTGATGGTTTTGTTATGGCTTTCTTTTAGCGCTGTTGGAGCGTGGTTAAGAGAGATGTGATGGCAGCACTGGAGGCTTTTTTTGTGTGTGGACAATTTGAGAAAAGTTTCAATGTGACTTTTTTGGCTTTGATTTCTAAGAAAGGAGGGCTGAAGATGTTTGTGATTTTAGGCCTATTAGTCTTCTGGGGAGTGTGTATAATTTATTGGCTAAAGTGTTGGCCAATAGACTTAGAGGAGTTTTGCAGACTTTGGTGTCTGAGTCTCAAAATGCGTTTGTAAAGGGGCGGCAGATTCTTGATGGAGTATTGGTTGCCAATGAGTGTGTGGACTCTCGGACTCATCAGAAGCACCCTGGTTTGATTTGCAAATTGGATATTAAGAAGGCGTATGACAACGTTAATTGGGAGTTCCTATTGTATGTGTTGGACCACATGGGCTTAGGGGAGACTTGTTACCTGTGGATCAAGTTTTGTATATCGACTATGCAGATGTTTGTGTTGATTAATGGGACTCCAGCAACATTTTTTCCGACATATCGAGGTCTTTGACAGGGGGACCCTTTGTCACCATTGTTATTTATATTAGTGATGGAGGCGTTGAGTAGATTGCTAGATAAAGCAGTGCGCGAAAGTCCATTGGAAGGTTTTGTTGTGAGATTGTTGTCTAGGGCTACTATTGGTGTATCTCATTTGTTGTACGAGAATGATGCTTTGATTTTCTACGGTGTTGAAGCGGAGCAAGTAGGACATTTGAGATGTGTTTTGCTTTGCTTTGAGGCGGTGTCAGGCCTCCAGATCAACTTGCGGAAGTCAAAGCTTATTCCCGTTGGGGAGATCGATAGGTTGCCTATTCTAGCGGCGGTCTTGGGCTGCAAGGTCTCAGATATGCCGGTGTCCTATTTAGGTTTGTTGTTCAAGGCTTCATTCAAGGCGAATGGGGTGTGGGATGGAGTGTGTTCAATGTCGTTTGGCGAGATGGAAGCGACAATATCTTTCGAAAGGAGGAAGGTTGACAATGATTAAGAGTGTGTTGAGTAGTATCTCGACCTACTTCATGTCGGTCCATGTTATCCCAATGTCGGTGGTGCAGCGGTTGGAGAAGCTTCAAAGGGATTTTTTATGGGGTAGTGGTGGAGATGAATTTAGGTACCATTTG